TTCAGTTAGCCAGAAAAAGGGATGGTATAACGGTGTTGTAGTCCCCCCCCCCCCCCCCCCCCCCCCCCCCCGCCAAGCAGTGGAGGAGACTGCAGGGAGCACTAAGGCCATGCCTACTTTTCCTGGATGGGGAGAAAATCAGTGTTTTTGAAGAAACATCATGACAGAACTGTGGCAGCAGATCCTATCTAATCTGGAAGCTAAGCAGGAACTAGCCTGATTACTACTTGGGTGGAGGATCACCAAGGTACTTTCAGAGGAATGTAATATTGTCAGAGTGTTACTTTAATTAATGAATTTTGTAACAGCTTAAGTCAGAATCCATGTGTTCTGCAACCGATGCCTTGGTAGAAGAGGACATTCCTGAACCTGCCAAGGAATTATAATTTCATAGCAGGAACCATTTTAGAAATAATAGCGGTCTCTATTGAAGGACGGTTGCAACCTTTCTTAACTTGCTCTTTCTTTTGTAAGTTTCTTTATTTTTCTTTGCATCTGGTTCCATTTATGACTCATACTTCCCAAACATCTATACGTCACTGCAGAAGGTCTTTAGCTTTGCTTGATTCATAGTGAGCTGTAGCTCTGGCAGCCGGCCAAATAAATGTAATAAAACCACTTTTTCCCCTTCAAAAATAAAAATGAGATCCCATTTGCCAGGAGATTTAATTAGCAGCCTGTAAGTCATTTCAGCGCTGAAAGCATGCACACTTGTGTTCTTTGGGAGCCTGATTTGCACCTTCAAACTCCATTGTCACATTTCAATAGCCATAGGATGGGGCAGGTTCAGGTTCTCTTTGCTGCAAATTCCACAGCATTAAGGCCACAATAAATCTGGGACAATCACACTGTGGCCTCTCTGCATGGCACACTTTGCATCACCAGTCTAAAGTGCTGCGACACTGATGAATTTTAACACTTTTTGCATGGAACTGACAACAGGAATTGAGCTGAAACAAGCAGCCTGTCAAGAAGCCCACATATAAAGAACTTGCCGTGACATCAAAAACACTCAGAATAGAAGCAACTATAACCATCTCCATTGCTAAAGTTTCAGAAGCAGGACAGCATGTGTATGCACGCCCAGGAGAAAAACACCCCACTTGATTGATTTTTGAAATCTAACATTTGTCATTTTTGGGGGGTTTTTTAGCAATAGCTCCCAAGACATTGTAGCAGGTGTCTTTCCAAACAGAATCACACACACAGCTAGATTTTTGTTATTGCTTAAATTCCATGTAGAGACAGGCAAACATAACTGTAGGCTTTCTCAGGTGCTGCCCCTAGCATAGGGGACTCCCAAAATAAACTGGTTGGTGCCATATATGTCACCATTCCAAGCAAATATCTTTTTGTACATAAAGATTTTGGAAACACTGGTTCTTGAAGAAGAGAGCCTTTATCTGGAAAGGAGATGTAATTTTAACTGGTGTATTTTTAAATTCTAGATATTTTAATTTGTGTTTCAAATTGTTGTGGAATTAAATGACTATATACCACCATCTGACCCATGAAAGTTTATTTCAAAGTGTACTTAACCTACATGAACTTACCTGGTCTACACATTCCGCTGCTGGGACCCTGCTCAATGTCTCAGCATAAAGGTACATCAAATCAGTGGATATAAGGTTGGTGTTCCAATGTTTATGAGCTGTCCTTCTGCAGGAAATATGAAGGAATGCACATCCCTTGGCTCATGATGGTAATCAGGCAGAACACTTTGTAAGAAAGGAAGCAAGAACTTAAGTCAAGAGCTGGAATGAAGATACACACACACACACACACACACTAATGTTCAATTTAAATTTAAAAAGAAATGTATCTTCTAACATGGTGTTGTTGTCATTTTGTGTAGCATTGAGGACAGTGAGAATTGGCCTCTGTAGCAACAAAGTTTATGTATTTTAGACACCATTTTGGGATCTTTATCTGCCATTTATTGGAGAGGATTGATGGAGAATCTTGCACTCATGGTCTATACCCGGTAGCTAGCTTACTATCAGTGTCACAAAAGGGGGAAGGTAGTTATGCTAACGCCTCTCATCCAGATCTTCTGTGTAGTGATCATAGCAGCCAGCCACGCCTGCAATATAAATCATGGTTCCATTGCAAGAGACCAAAGCATTCCCAGGAGTAATAACAAAATGGAATAGGAAGAGATATGTTGTACCACTTTGGACTGTGGCACCTTATAGATGTGAATTAAACAGTTGGGTCAGTTGACAGAGGTGAGAACTATGAAGACGCAGAGGTTAAGTAGTGCAGGGCAGAATGCCCCTTTCCTCATACATGGGCTCTTGCACATTCTCTTCATTTGGATCATAAGCTTTCCTGGCTATGGTTGCCTGAAGATATTCAAGTTAGAATGAATAGCCATCTATAAACTCTCCTTCTGATACTGAGCTGAGGAGTTTGGTTTCATGAGGTCTTGACCAGAGAGGGAAACAACTAAGAGTTTATCATCAATAATAGTTTCTTTATATATATACACACACACACACACACACACACACACACACACACACACACATATATATATTACACCCCCAGGTCACTACATTACACTACACTACACTGTAGTGTATAGTGTGTGTGTGTGTGTACACACACACTATACACTACAGTGTAGTGTAGTGACCTGGGGGTGTAAAACCACTCTTAGAAGAATCAGCACATTGGTGAGATCAACTGCTGGGCAGAAACCATAATGTGGGGATTGGTGATGGGATGGACCAAAACCATAGGATGAGTTTTCTACTTCTTTTGATACCAATGATTCACGATGCCTTAATGTGCCTGTCTTCTTAGGCTTCTTTAGAGATGCCTCAACCCATTTGCCAACATGGAGAAGTAGGAACTGGAGAAGATGGTGCTTGAGAAGTTGGATCTAAAGTATCTGAGATTTTGGCCTGTTTCCCCGTTGCTGAAGAATGCTTAGAACAGATGTCCCCTGAAGCTATAGAGAGAGACTTGTTCTGGACAGCAAGGCCAGAAAGTGTTTAAGGCAGCTTCCAGAGTAAGAGGCACAAAGTTCTATGTTGGTGTACTTATGGAATGAAAGCTCAGCAGTGCCCAAAAGGTAATGGGAGCAGCTGTGCAAATTAGAGGTTTTCTGGACATATTCAAGGCAGCTTTAAAAAAAAAAAGGCTTAAAGGGGCTATAAACCGAAGCTCCTGAATTGGTTGGGATCAGGACAATATTTTCCCATACAGGAGCAGAGATGTTCATGCTTCAGAACTTAGGGAAGTGAGGTGGTTGATCTTCCTGTTTCACAGCTTGTAAATGTTCCTTTTGGAACTGGCCATGCTGGATGAAGCAGTGGAGGCTTGGAACTATACTATACTACACCATAACTGAAATTGTTCTTAAGAAAGTAAATTTCCAAGCTCAAACATTAATGTGTTTTGAGTGTTTTCTCCTTTTTAGTATTACAAAATGAGTGTTATTGTTTTAATAATTGAATTGTTCTAAAATAATAATTGAATGGTTCTACATTTTATTAACTGACTTGGGCACTTTCTTGAACTGCAAAGAGAAACCTACAGAAGAACATCATTGGGTGATAAAATGGACTATACCATGTTTTTCTGATAAGCAAAGAAGATATTAGCAAGTGATACACATTTATATATCTTCTTTCATGAGCATTAGAAGACTGACAATTGATACTGTATGGCCCCCTTATCTGCAGGACTGGTATCTTCAGTTTTGTTTATCCACATGTGACAAAATATGTCCTCCCTAAACATTTTTAAGTCCTCCAGTGCAAATATGTGATGTTCATGAGGTAGAAATCCTTCATTTCAATAGTGTTTGCTATTATATCAATGCAAAGTCTGGAAACATAACCCTTGTGGATATGGGAATTAAACTGTGTTTTATTTATGGATGTCTTGAGATAAAACAACAACTGGGCCAGATCTTCCATCAGGCTCAAATGTATGTGGATTACGAAGTATATTTTTTCATCAAAACTTTACATTAAAAAAAGAATTGAGGCTTTCTTTTTATAGGAACCAAACATCACTGGGGTAACTTATTGTAATCAAATACATCAACCTTTCAATGACAATTTGGCAATAACTTAAAAATTAACAGCCACAGACTCCTTGTTAAACAAGGCTTTAGCAATAGAGGCACGATTATTTTTTAACACAGGTACTGATTTCTGTGTATTCATATCACTGCTAATTATCTCCACCATAATAAGATACAATGCCATGTCTTATTGATTCAACAGTGCTGGATTATAGTCCTGAAACATTGCAGATGTGTCAAGCTGTTTATTTAATGATGGTATGTGCTCAGAAAATGATTTAAAGTGGCTTTTCTTACTCAGAATAACTGTACAATGGATATTAAAATACACCATCAATAACCTGGTGATAGTTTATCAAATGAAAGCAAAAACATGGACTACTTTTTTCTTGCTATTTCACATAAAATCAAGCATCTTACAATTTTCCAATGTAATTTCACATTGATGGAGCCCCTGGTGATGCAGTGGGTTAAACATGAGGTGCTGAACTTGTTGATCGAAAGGTTGCAGGTTTGAATCCGGGGAGCAATGTGAGCTCCCACTGTCAGCCCCAGCTTCTGCCAACCTAGCAGTTTGAAAACATGCAAATGTGAGTAGATCAATAGGTATTGCTCCATCAGGAAGATAACGGCGCTCCATGCAGTCATGCTGGCCACATGACCTTGGAGGCATCTACAGACAATGCAGGCTCTTTGGCTAAGAAATGGAGATGAAAACCAACCCCCAGAGTCGGACACGACTGGACTTTATGTCAGGGGAAAACCTTTACATTTTAATTTCATATTATGCACCATTATGCATAATATCCATGCAGTTTAATCTTACAAATTATTTAATGTAAAGGTAAATCACAATGCATTCAATGGGGTTATATTCTTAAGTAAAGTATGCATGCTTGCACCCTAAAAGAGTTTCAGAGGGGAAAACATTAAAAACCACATGAAAACTAGACACTAGATACATAATGTAACTGTATATTTATTTCTTTTTTTAAAGAACACTCCTTAAATGTATTGCAATTCAGTTATACAAACGTGTTTTCACAGAATTATAATCCACTAAATAGCACAGAAAATAACTCAGATTTTTGTTGACTTGGGTGTCTGGGTGTGTATTTGGGGGCATCCATCATATCTTCACACATATAAGTAAGGGTTCCTCTCAGTCTTCCCCCAAGACAATTGAATACTACAAATGCCCTTAATCTTGAAGGATATAATTATCTTGCCCACTGACCTTTTCTCTTTGATAGACATGAAGATATGATCATTTTTCTTCCATCAAGGAAATTTCCTCAAATCCTTCACTGATGTTTCTGTATCTAGAGGTGATGGTGAGCAACTATTCATTTTGTTTACACCCATCCCATACTTCACCCTAAGTCCCCTGCTATGGAGATAACTTGGCAATATAACTAAGCTCCTTGCTATCAGTTAGTATGGAGACCCTCCATATGGCTTCCATGGCTCTGTTTCTAGTCTGAAGCGGCCAGCACTGACTGCTAAGCTACCGGACCAGCCGATCTCCAAGATCTATACAATCAAGCATGCTTCCTCATCTCAGGTTAAAGCTCGATTCCTCTACTCTCAAGGCCAAGGGATCCAGAGTTCACCTCTTCCCCCTTTTAAAAAAGACACTTTGATAATGATATGTGGTGACTATTGCCCACTCCTGCTTTCATTCAAGTCAAGTCCCCAGTGTCCAGCGACTTCACTTGAAACAAAGTGAGACCTGAAAGCGCCCAAACATCTACATGAAATTGCACCAGCTCGCATATATTTACATGGGGTGGAATGTTTTCCCATATTTTTTAAAAGGAGCATATAGAGCAACATCTTCACATAAGACCAAATACTTTTAATATATTTATAACTGTTTTATAAAGCTTTGAAAAACTCACAATAGCACATGGTTTTACTTTAATGCTTTACGGTACTATCTTTTTAAAATCACAATCAGCACTTTTAAGTTATAGTCGATCCAGCAAACAAGAGACAAAAAATTACAAGAGTTAAGAACGGACTGATACATCCTTTTATCTTATTTTTTTAAACTAATGCATAAGTGCAGAATAAGATAAGATACTCTAGTTTAAATATCTTGTTTACAATATACATTTTTGTTCTAATAATGCAACAGTAAATCCCATGCTTCACATAGAAAAGCAATCCGCAACATTTAAGAAAAAATGTACAATTTATGAAACAAAGTAAATAAATATTAGTATTACAGAATCAGAGCTGTACATAAAAGCTGTTCAGTTTTAATCATATAAAAATATTTTAGTGCAACCTCACATATATATTGATGCTTTTTTTGTTTTTTGCTTTACATCGTTTAGGTCAAAGTGTCCCCAAAAGGAAAGAAATTACATTTATTACAAAGCAGATACACAAATTCTAAAATATGTACAAATTACTGCTAAAAAATGCTTATAAGAATATAAGCAAAAGTAAAGAAAAGGCACAAACACCTGTACAGGTTAAAAGTACCAGACCCAATAAGAATTTGAAATTTCATTTTGGTCAGGCTCATGATGACTCGTAGTTTTACTCAATTCTTTTGATATAACAAAAGTATATATAATAGCAAACTACTGTAACTTAGAACCGGCATGCTATAAGGTTGAATACTTCCTTCTATCACTAGGGGGATAAAGGGATTGGGAGTAAACACATGTATTAAAAGTCTTCACACATTTCAGATCACTGTGGGTTGCTTTTTTCCAAGAGTGGGTCTACTCTTTCCTGTGTGCTTGATGGGGAATCTTTCCTACTGGGGTAGCCAATCTGCCTGGCTTCCGCAGTGCTTTTGCTGTAAAAGGTGGAATGAGATAATGCAGTCTGCAATGTACCAAAAGGGTCCTTGTCGCCACTGTGCAAGTCAGGGTTGGTGGCTGAGGCACAGATCTGGCCTGGCTCAGAGCCACTAAAGTGTCTCATGCTAAAATGTGCACTTTCCGAGGGCTTTGGAGGAGGTTCCAAATCCCTCTTGTCTGTCCCGTGTAGACCTTCCTCTGTGGCAATTCGGAGAGAGGCTATGGCTTTTGTACAAGTCTGTATGTTTTCTTCTTGCTCCCTCTCAACAACACCTTCCTCTGAAGTGCTCTGTTTCATCAAGAGCAACTGAGGAGAGGATGCACTGCCTTGAACCATTGCATGCAGAGTTTGAGGGCAGGTACGTTTCTCGTGGTGCTTAGAAATCACATGGGACTCAGTAGTCATGGTTTCAGAAGCTGCCCTTTTCTTCTCACCAGAGCCTTCTTTTGAGAGGGGCAAGATGGAGGCAGGATGTAAACCAGACAGGGCTGCAGGCATTGAAGGGACCATTTGGATGCCACCAACAGGCATCATGGGGATGGGTGCACGAAGCTGCTGCTGGGAGTGTAGTGGAAGGTGACTGAAGACATAATCCGTAGGACCTTCAGGATACAGGTTAGATCCATGATGCTCCAGAACTCCTTTTTCCCCAGGTATACCAAAATAAGGTCCTTGGAACAATCCTGGTCTTGAACTCTGAAGGTAGAGAAAGAAAAGGAAAAATGAGCCAACTCTGCAAAGACACTGATCTTTTGAGGGATCCAAGAGAATTATTGCAAAGTGTGTTTGTCATCTGTATTAATTTACAAAATGCAGACATACATAGCATGTTTCTAACACCTGAATCTAATTATGCCACAGTACTAGACAAAAATGTTTTGGGAAAGAAAATTCACTTGGGAAATTGTAGACTCTAATGTTCACAAAGAAACAAAGAGATCAATACATACATTTTAAAAATTCAATTTTTACAACTGTAGCTCGTGATATTTAATTTGGTTACAAGTGAACAAAAAGCTGCATGTGATATTTAGAAATTTAAAATGGGAAAGAAATTAGTCAAAGCACCATTCAACAGTAACCATCAAAACGGTAGGACAGGTTTGGGGTGAGGACCTAACCTGTGTAACTGTTAGAAAACCTCGGTCTTGGCTATTTATAGGTATTCCAGATAGCAGCTGTAAAGAAGTATGGCAAACACACAGTTGTGATTATACAGGTTTCTATTGATTCCTAAATAGAAAATCTCCATGCTAAATGGTAATACAATTATCACTATCAACATTTTCACACTATGAAATTCTAGTTTTCAATTTATTTAAATGCCACTTTCCTACTATTGTTTAATGGATAAAACTCATCATGCTTTAGTGTATCAGAAGGACGATGAATGGGCAGAACAATACAAAAACAAGACATGCTAGTCTAAGATTCCAACTTCAGGCCTGAGAGACACTGATACAATCCTTAATAAGTATGGAGAAATCACAAAATCTGCGTTAATAGATCTTGGCAGCAAGTCACCATGGCAAATGACTTAGACAAACAAACAACAGCCAAGATCCTACAGGAGGCATAAGAGTCCTGCAGCAAGAGCTCTACTGTCATTAGCCTGGACTCAGGACTGTGTTACAGCAGCCCTCCCATGGACATTCTGTTGCTAATGGAGAGTGGAGGGATTCAAAGAAGCTAGAGATTGACTTCCGCCAAGATCCCCTGGGATCCATCAGAGATTCAGCAGATAATACCCTTGGTCTGCATTTAGTCTGCCAGTAATGGAAAGGTTGGAGAAAGACTATTACAGTACAAAAGTGAGTCCTGAGAGGGGGCTAGGATGTTGTGGAGGGAGGATACCAATTTCTGCAACAGCCAAACATACATATGCAAGTGTAAGGAGAAATTACGGTAAGTGTAATAGTGTGGTGTTTCCTTCTGTGCTGTTTAGTATACGTGCTTTAAGTATTATGCCAGACCTGTGAGGCTATCACAAGTTATATCTGGACCCACCCATCAGGCTGGATATACACTCGACCTAGCTTTTCTTGCGGACAGCAGAACAGTCAGAGTGGAAGAGCAAAATATTCTTCCATTGTCATGGTCTGACCATCATCTGATCAGTTTTAGACCTCTAAACTTCGCAGGGGTGGAGGAGGCCTTTGACGACCCGACAACTCGGTGCTGCAATTTCATGCACCATTTTGCAGATAAAGTTGCTCAGATAAGCCTCGAGTTAGATACTAGTTTAAGTACAGTGCCAGAGGAGGTGACTGAGGCATCTGCTTATCCTGTTTTGTGGGATTCTTTCCGGCTTGTTCATCCTGAGGACGTGGAGGGGGTCCTTTGGGCTGAGGGCGACCACGTCGGCTCTGGACCCTTGCCCTTCTTGGCTAATCAATTCGGCTAGAGGTGGGTTGATTGATTCGTTTGTGTTAATCATTAATGCATCGTTGGAGCAGGGGACTTTTCCATCTGGGTTGAAACAGGATGTGGTTAGACCACTCCTGAAAAAGGCCTCCCTTGACTCCATGGTCTTGAGCAACTACAGTCCAATCTCCAACTTCCTGTTCTTGGGCAAGGTGCTGGAGCAGGTGGTCGCCTCTCAGCTCCAGGGTTTCCTACATGACATCGACCAGTCATAGTCCAGCTTTAGGCTTCGTCACGGTACCGAGACAGCTTTGGTCACCTTGGTGGATGACCTCTGCAGGGAGCTGGACAGGGGGAGTGTGACCCTGCTGGCTGTCTTGGATATCTCAGCGGCTTTCGATACCATTGATCATGATATCCTTCTGGGACGACTCTCCAGGATGGGCCTTAGGGGCATGGCTTTGTAGTCGCTCCAGTCCTTCCTGGAGGGTCGCTTCCAGATGGTGAAGCTGGGAGACACCTGCTCGGATCCCTGGGCTTTGACCTGTGGGGTCCCACAAGGTTCAATTCTGTCACCCATGCTTTTCAACATCTACATGAAACCGCTGGGAGAGGTCATCTGGAGTTTTGGAGTTGGGTGCCATCTCTACGCAAATGACACGCAACTCTACTACTCTTTTTCACCCACCTCCAAGGAAGTCCCTCGGGTGCTGGATGAGTGCCTGGTCGCTGTGACTGACTGGATGAGGATGAACAAGCTGAGGTTTAATCCCAACAAGGCAGAGGTCCTCCTGGTCGATCGTAAACCGGATCGGGGTATAGGGTGGCAACCTGTGCTGGATGGGGTTGCACTCCCCCAGAAGTCACAGGTCCGCAGCCTGGGTGTCCTCCTGGATTCATCACTTACGCTTGAAGCTCAGGCATCGGCGGTGGCCGGGAGGGCCTTTGCACAATTAAGACTTGTGCACCAGCTGTGACCATACCTCATGAAGTCGGATCTGGCCAGGGTGGTCCATGCCTTAGTCACTTCCAGATTGGATTACTGTAATGCACTCTACATGGAGCTGCCCTTGAAAATGGCCCAGAAATTTTAACTGGTACAACGGGCGGCAGCCAGGTTACTAACTGGTGCAACTTACAGGGAGCAATCAACCCCCCTGTTTAAGGAGCTCCATTGGCTGCCGTTTATTTTCCGGTCCCATTTCCTAGGTTACTGTGTTACTGTGATTTTTTGTCTCCCCTTTGTTCCATCTCAGGATGAATCTATGGAACTTACATTCCAGCCATCATCTACAGCTGACTGCTCCAAACGGCACAGTGACTCTGAGTGAAGAAGAACCTGAGAGACCAAGCAAGCATCTGTGAGTGCTGGATGAGAGGATTGAGGGGAGGATTACAGGACTGCTGGTAGAGCCAGAGTCCAATGGATTCTCACTTGTTCCTACATAATGTCAAGTTATGTCCTTCAGGTCCTCAACAGCAGCAGAGCAGACCTGCATTACTTAGAGTAGCTTCTGGCAGTTATGGTATGTTGGGTTTTGTTTTGGTGGGTTCGGGGTGGGGGAGGGTCAGGCCAAGAGATGATAGTTACAAATTCATAACAAAATCATGTCTCTCTTTTTTTCTTTCTAAACGTCAGGATCAGATGTAAACGAGGTCAAATGCAGAAGTAAATTAAATCTATATGGAGAAAAATGTTGCTAAATCTTCAGGAATCTATGTATCTCTCTGTTTCAAGGAAAACACAGATCTTTATTTTTATTTGTTTTTGCTTTGTTCCTTTTATCAATTATAGTAGGGCTGGAGGAAAACCCAGCCAAGGACAGAATACTTCAGCAAATTAGAGGTCCTTTACATTGCACTAAAAATTGCTCTTTTCCTTTCTCCCTTTTTTATCTTTCTACAATAAAAGTGATTATGTTTATGCCACCAAGAAGTTAATTCTAAGGTTTAAACATTTCTACTTTTAGGTATCCAGACTCAATTATTTCCGTCCATAGGAAGGTCTGCTAATTAAATAGAACAAAACATATGGATAATAGAAAGGTCTTTGTTTTAGTATAAGTTAGTAGTAAAAAAAAAAATCCTGTTTTCCCTTAGTATGTTCGAATTCTTGCAAGCAGGAGATGAATTGTTTTCCAGACTGTACTACAGACAGCAGATGACATCTCATCTGACTGACTACTCCTTCCATACAAACTAAATGTGAACTGTAGAGAGTGTGGGAGAGGAAAACAATTTTTTTGGAAAGGAATACTGTCATAAGAATCTACTGCTCTCCAGATTTTTGCTACATAATCTGCTGTGGAAATTTATCTGATACCAACTAAATCTTGGCTGGAGGTTGCAGTAGGGGGCTGACCAAAGAATACAAAATGATCATCATCAGGAAGTCAGAAATAACTCCCACAATTCAGACCATGTCCCTAAAGGAAATCATGGCCCTAAAGAAAATCACGGCCTTCCAAACGTTATTTGACTGCTACTCCCAGCATTCCTCACTATTGGCATGCTGTCTAGGGCTGCTGTCAATCTAACAGCCTCTGTATGATCACTTGATCCCCCACCCTTGCCCTAAAGTGAGAGCTATAGGAGGGCATTATGGAAAGAGGATGACAATGAGAGTAGGTTTTCTTCTTCAATATAACATGAGATCAAAATTATGTCCAAAGCTTCCAGGGAATAACTGAAATGCATGAGGACAAAATATATTTAGGAGTGTAGGCATTCGAGACTTCACATCTATTCATGAATCGGTACAATCTCCTCTCCTCCACAGACTTACATAACCAGCCTCCACTGAATTATGCAGTTAAAGTTAGATGTGAAGAAGGAGAAAGAGGCATTTATCTGAGTGTGTTTAATTGCAGTTCAGTCAACATGGTTGCCGGGGAGGGAAGATATACATTCTTTCATGAATGAAAATACAATTATGGAACTGCAATTTCTCTGTCTCTCCTTTGCAGCCTCCTGTGATTTCCAAAAATACTCCCCTGAGTTTTGGGGGGCCCTAAGAAATGGTTGTGGGCAGAACACTACAATTCAGTGAAATGAAATAGGCTGCGACAGATGCTTATGTAACAAATACATCCAAGACAGATCCATTGATTACAAGTGATCTGGAATGAATTGTCCATCAATGGGTGTCAGTTTCTAGACTTTAGTTCATTTCCCAGGCATTAGCCAGATACTGAGGAACTAGTTTTAATGAATTTCAGCACTTATTGGTGGATGAAGAGACATTTTTAAAACTTCTGTATTATTGGGGCACAAAATATTAAGTCCATTATGAACAAACTAGGTCTGTCAAATTTATAGAACCCTAACAGATTAATGCAAAACGGTCAGTATATTCTTTTCAACTTACCGACTGTCCCAAAGGAACCGACTCAGACAGTAAATGCTGGCCCATGGACAATGCCGTGTTGTGGTATAAGCCTCTTCGGGGTGATGCTGCTCTAACTGAGGACATATACCTTCTTTCTCTTCGTGGAGATAGGTCTCTTCGGGTTGATGTGTCTTTTCCAGGTGACATTGGCCTCCTTGGTGAGAGATGGCGCCTTGGAGAGGCATCTCTCCGTGGTGATAACTCTCTTCTCAGCACAGCTTCCTTCCTTGGCGAAATATGCCTAATGGGGGAAATCTCTCTTCTTGGGGATAAATGCCTTCTAGGTGATAAATCTCCTTTGGGCATCAAATACCTCTTTGGTGAGTTATCTCTGTAGGGAGAAGAATCATATCCAGGTGAGGACTGCCGGCTAGAAGAGGAAAAGTCCCTTGGAGAAGAATTGGACTCCAAAGAAACCATAAAGTCTTCATCCATGCAGCTAGGGATGTCAAGTCTGTCTTTGTCGGGTTCTGAATCTGTACTTTTATTCTGGAAAAACCTCTGGTATTCTGTCATTTGTGAATCATCACAAGAGTCACTTGGCGTTAGGAGCTGAGTGACTTGAATGCTGGGTAAAGTGACCAAGTAACTTATCAAGGAAGAATGCCCTACTGAGTTGTCAGGAGAAGCCCCGTAGGATGCTGTGGCAGTATTCACAGATAAAGAGGAGAATCTAGGGGGCTGCGGACTAGTGCTCCGTGATCTTGTTTTGGGTGTTGAGTCTCCAGGAGTGTCATCAAAATCATCATCATCGTCGTCATCGTCATCATTGTCCTCTCCATCATCTCCATCTGATTCCTCAGCATCAGAGAACTGGTGATCAGTAGACGTACCAGTCAGGTTGCTCTTCTCAACTTCATGGTGTGTGTCTTCCATATTTTCTGAAACAATTGTGACAAGTCAATACAACATATACAGGAGATCTATATCTCAGTTTTATCACATACCTTTTCAATGGGCAAAGTTGTCAGATATATCAATAGATTTTACTGTGGAAAAACATGCATTTGGGTGATGCCTATGTAGTTCAAATGCAAACCTGTTTCTGATACCAAGTGCATGAACTCACTGGTTTCTATGGCTGTCTAAAACTTTTGCAAGAGATGATTAGAACTCCAATCACATGGTGGGGGCTTGGCAGAACAGCATGTATAGGATCCTAAAAGATATTGATTGTAATACTGTGCAAACCTTTCCAAAGGTACTGTGTTTTTCAATAAATTTAATGGCATTGTCTTCTAAATTGACACACATAGGTTTATTATACCATTAGCCAGTTTGAGCTCTTAATGATTAAATCCATCAACAGACATTTTGAAAAATTCCTTTGTAACTATAAGGCCTGCATTAGGACATGTCTACACCACATCAGGAAATCAGGAGAAAGGATTCATAACTGCCTGAAGGCTGTATCAGACCAGATATGATAGAAGCCAGATACCTCACTTTTTCAGCATCGGTATTTCTGTACATGCCATTTGGATAACTCTTAAAGTATGCCTAGTACAAAATGTTTTTCAAACAATTTGGGAATGTGCTTGTGTGTCAAAACTCTAAGAATATAGTGTCCATGAGGACTATAATAATGGTGGTCAGAAGGCATTTTCTGTTCTCCCTGCAAAGAAAGCTCTGCACTCAGGAAGCTTCACACAATCATGTCAAGATTATTTTCAATGCTTGGTGTTGACACAAGTAAACCTTCAAAAAATGCTTAACATATCCTGTCTTGTCAGCAAGTGATAAAGTGTGATGAGTCATTTGCATACTGCAAAGGTCTCCATAACTTGAAAAAATTGTTGTGACATACCTGCTTCTTCCGTTTCAGCATCATCTACAGATGTCATCGATACCCCCAGCTCTAGGCATTTTTTCATGTGTGCTTTAGATTTCATATGTTTTGTCAGATTTCCTGTGGAAAAGCACAAAGATGACACTAATTAGATGGCATCTGTATAGAAATAATGTCGGCTCTGTATAGCTTTCCTTGCTCTTTCCTTTTAACCAGACAGAAAACAAGGCAACTGGACAGACAATTTAAATGTTATAATTGCAAGAGTAATTTTATATAACTGCATGGTTGGCAGAGGAGAAAATGCATGCATATATATTCTTATGGTAGTCTCTATTCACAGTCTCATTCTGATGCTTAGGACTGTTGAGCCTGTATATTCTTTTTATTATTCTGCATTTGCACCTGCATTGCTATTGTTTGCCATTCTTTATTTTTTTATAGTAGTCTGAATCCTGCTGGACAGTTCTAAGTGTGTAACTTAAAGTTACACATTTGTGACTGTTTTATATTCATGATCCCCATGTAAGCTCCTAGTTAAAGGGATACAAAGGGGTTGTGAAAGTCCCCCAATCCTCACTTACCAGACAGCAATTACTACTATCAAGGATGTTCAGTTCTCTGTTGCTTGGACCATGGCTGGCTGATATTCCCACTCACCTCCCTCACCAAGTATCCTCTGTCCAGAGAGGAAATTGCAAGAGGGGCTCTGCTTGTGCCTGTTGCAGAAGAGCTCATTCACAGGAGGTGGATGGGAACACCAGACATTTGCTTGTCAAATCACAGTTCAAAGCATCTGGAAGGCACTGGGTTGCTCATCTCTACCACATGACACTACTTTCCATGGGTTAGGTTCTACTTCATCAGGAGACTTGCTTTAGAAGAGCTGAATTAATGAAAATCTATGCTATAAGGAACCTGCTAGTTTCTACAGCTATCAAAAGAGTCTATAATTCCTCTAGAACTTGACAATATAATTTAATTATACAAATTCTGGGCACCGCAGCTTAAGGGAGATGTTGACAAGCTGGAATGTGTCCAGAGGAAGGGCGACTAAAATGATCAAAGGTCTAGAGAACAAGTCCTATGTGGAGTGACTTAAAGAGCTGGGCATGTTTAGTCTGCAGAAGGCTGATACATGATGGCCATGTATATATATGTAAAGGGAAGTCATAGGGAGGAGGAAACAGATTTGTTTTCTGCCACCCTGGAAAACTCTCTGCCTCAGAGTGTGATGGAGGCTCCTTATTTGGAGGCTTTAAAAAGAGGCTAGATGACCATCTTTCGGGGGTGCTTTGAATGCAATTTTCCTGCTTCTTGGCAGAGGGTTAGACAGGATGGCTCACAAGGTCTCTTCCAACTCAATGATTTTATGAAACTTTTTTTTACACTCTCCTCAGTTCATAAATGTTTGCTGTTTCTTCCTTTAACTCACTTCTGAGGCCAGAATGTCAGATAGTTTCTTAAAAATCTAACTCTATTGCTGAAAAAAACCTGTAACACATAACACTTACTAATTCAGAACATTTCATAGCCATCTTTTCCATAACAAAAAAAAAACTGGTCGAACTACCACACCAAAAGCACATTAACATAAAATTCTGACAGAAAGAAAAGTTATGTCACATTTCAGCACCAACAACAATACTATTGTACTTGAACGCAGGTATATTTTAGTTGATAGCAAGATTTGTACATAGAGCAGCAGTAGTCAAATTCTTCAACCAAGTGACTTCCTTATTGTAAATGGAATATTAGAGAGAGCTATGTATCCCTATCTATAGAGGCTCTATGTGGACAATCATTATTCATGTAAGGAAAGCAAAGTTACTGCATTCCATCCTCCTTGCATGCCCCCCCATCACCACACACATATTGTGTGGTTACCAAGATCATCCAACCTGTTTGACTCTTAAATGCCCCACAATACTCCATGGGGGGATCTGGGGGGAATTCTGCCCAGAGGTTGCCCTTCCTTAGGCTGTTGTGAATTCTGAGTCATTACCTGTTGAAAGAAAGAGTTATCCTGGCTCTAAAATGATCTGAGAGTGCTTGGCAAAGTCCCACCAAACCTCCTGCTTGGAATTATATGGGCAATTTTTTTTTTTTGCTAGGGATAACAGAGTATAGCCCTCCAAGTTATCTTGAAGGGGCAATGTTACCCTCTTTCTTGACAATGCATATCCATGCCCTGTGTCAGTAACATTTGAATAGATTTTGGGCTATGACCTTCCTAGACCAGATGGATTTAAAAGCCATAGAACCATAGAAGCAAAGAACTAACCATTTGAATCAGGTCTATAACCAAACCAAAGCTAAAAACAAACGCTGTTGTATTCACACCATGTTAAAGCACTCCAACATAAAGTTATAGAATTACCAAAATGCAGTTGAGAGTTTTCTGCAACATTCAGAGTGGTTAACTATCAACAATTTTGAATTGTCAGGATTTAATTTATATCTGTCAGTCTTGTTAAAAGAAACGTTTGCTTCATCAACATGCATTTCAAAATACTGAACAATTATGTCAGGAAGCACATTTAGTTATATTTCATTAAAAACAACAAGATGGAAAGTGATATATTTCCCAAAGTAACCCACAACAAGAAAACAATGCTATCCTCTCCCAAATAGAGAAAATAAGAACCAGAGAAAGTAGTTTGCAGGGTTGGACTCGTCTCCAAAACAATGTGTTGAACTAGTTTCCATAGTCACCAGTCAATATGTTCAAGAGGGATCAGCATGGCTGATCAATAAACAAATTACTGAAAGCCTCAAAAGTATGAAAAGGGACACACTCATCATTTCAACCTATAGATGAGTGTGTTTCATCAGAATCAGAAAAGAAGCCTGTCTCTCATAACTTAGCCTTACAAAATCAATGGAGAAAGTGTGAGAATTGGTATGAGTGTGGTACACTATTTTTAATGTACCCCCCCAGATGATGTTAAGACTAGAACTCCCATAATTCTTTGCCCTTGGTTACATTGGCTAGAGCTCCTAGACCTTACAGTCCAATGACATTTGGGGAACCATGTGATGCCCACTCCTATAGCAGGGGGTTTTATCTCTTGTGACACATACATACACATATACATGATCATATATGCACAGTGAGAGATTCAGAAGAGACAGCAATGCAGCAGCTATTCAGGCAAATTGATTTCTCAAAAAAAAACAAAAAAAAAACAAAAAACAAAGACAGCTTCTTTTCTAAAGAGCATCCTTAGATGTAAAACCTCAGATTGATAAATGGAAGCTTCGCTCCATCCTCTATTGGGCTGGTAAGTACATGTGAAGATGAGCTCTCGGCTCTCAGCCATTCATAATTAATGTAACTGTGGAAGGAGTGGCCCACCTGGAGTCTGTGGATTCTTGCATTATTTATATATGTGAAACTGACCCACCATAAAGACAGACTAGGAATTCTCTGCTTTGCAGCTAATGCTCTGCTTCTTCAATGTGCTAATGCAAATGTACAATCCCTTGATGTAATTACCAGTAATACTTGCACCATAGCATTTGGAGCACAAAAGTAATATTTGCCAAGGCCATTTTTGCCACTACATTTCCTCTGCAGACAGATGGTCTGGATAGATGCCCATATTTCTTAATTAAGTTACACAAAGTGCCTCCCTGCCTCATATAAATCCTTGACTCACTTAGATAAAGAGCAAAAAGTTATATTTCATGAAGCCTCATTTTCAAAAATAGCTATCTTGCTTTAAGAAAAACTTCCTTTCCACTTGGAAACATGACAGCAAAGAGCCAACATTTCACCCCCCCCCCCTTGCCATTAGAATTAGAATGACGAAATACCTTTTGTTTTGAAGGCAAAATTACATAACTTGCATATGTAAGGCCGTACATCGGTATGGGTGCGGATATGTTTTTTGAGCATGCTTGGCTTCTTGCAACGAATCCCACATTCTTCACAAATGTACTTCCCACGTCCACGTCCTCTAACATAAACATAATCCTCATTGGATTTATACCTGTTGGAAGAAAGGCACTATTAAAATAGGACTCTAGGAGATGAAGATTCAAATCTCCACATGGCCATGGGAACTCACTGGTGATCTTGGGTAACTCACATATTCTCAGCCTCAGTCGGGGCAATAGTAAAACCCTATGAACATTTTCTTTGATAAAGGTAAATGATAGGTTTACCTTGGGGTAGCCATAAATTAGAAATGACTTGTATATGGATCCACAATCATGGTGGCTTAAGCCACATTCTGTGATTACAGAACTTTATTCCACCAAGGAAGTCCTGGGGCCCTGGCAGGAAAAGATTCATTGTGACCTTTCTGTTCTGTTTTCCCCCTTAATGTCACTTATTATTTAATACTGTACAAAATTTATAGTCACAATCACTTCCTGAAGCAGAAATCATGGCACTAAAAGTGAACACAAGCCAAACAACAACAACAACACCTTTTCCACAGAGTTGTGTATTATATCAGAGAATGCAACCTACCTATGTAATGTGCTTGATAAAACATTTACATATAGATAGGGCTTTGGTAAATGACCATTTCTACTTGCTGGAGCCTACTAGATAGCAAACAGAACATGCAAACATGTGCAAATCTGAACTTCATTGACCATTCATCCTTTATGACAAAGTTAGCAACAATGAAAAGGAGACTAAACAAAGCATACAAGTGTGTGATGTATGTACAGAACCAATTTCAACCATGTGGAATTTTCTATTTTCTTTATCCAATTTACACCAAATACATGACGTTAAAATATTGTGTGCCTCAGCTTTATAAATAGTGTTTTGCCCAGTTAAAGATTGCTCCTGATACTATTAAATTTCCCATAACTTTCAAAAATCTAAAAGAAAAACTGGATTTTTTTCTTAATTAATTTGTCATCCTTCCTTTGTTATATTTCAATTCTGTCTTTCCGTTGATAGCAAAATAATGATTGAGATGGCTAGCAACACCAATAGAAAAAAAATGAAGTAGTTACTACAAAACGGCTGAGATAATAAAAAAGATAACAATCAATATTATGAAACTTTCCATTACTTCTGCTGCTCATCCTTCTTTATGACGAAAAAAAAGTATGTGAAAGCCATGTTCAAGTTGCTTTGTTGTTTTACCTGCTTTCCAATTGACTTGAACTTATTGCAACCCTATAGATGAGAGACCCCCAGGACTGTTGGTTATCAACATCCTTGCTAAAGTCTTGCAGATTAAGAGTCTTGGCTTCTTTGACTGAGTCCATCTATCTGTAATCTGGTCTTCTTCTTGTCCTATTGCCTTCCAATTTACCTATCATTACCATGTTTTAAAGAATGCCACCTCTTCTCATGATATAGCCAAACTATGACCATCTCAGTTTTGGCTTCTAGAGTGGGCATGGGCAAACTTTTTTGCTTTGGGGTCGCATTGTGCACTTGACCAAGAGGGGGGAGGGTGGCCAGGCATGCGTTGGGTGGGACAGGCCCAGGAGGGAGAGGGCCTGTGAAAGGGTGGGACTGGGATGGGGTAGAGCGGGGCTCAGGTCATCCCTAAGTTCTCCTTCTGGCATAAGGATGGGGCTGCTTGCCCCATCCTTATGCCAGGAAGAAAACAAGACATGTGGCAACTGCCCCGATCCTCCTCCCTGATCTTTGGGTTGTCCTCTGGACATTATGCTGGAAGGAGGCTGAGACAGGCAATGGTCAAGAGCGTTCTGGAGGGCTCTCAGCCACTGTGTGCCTTCACGGTATAAGGAAATAATAATTATTATTATTTTATGAATTCAAAGGCTGAAACAAAATTGGGTTTCTGCTTTAATTCTAAAGGAAACACATACTTCCTTTGTTTGAAAATTTGATTGTTTCATAAAATAAGCAGTGTGTATCAATAATCAAAGGACCACTTTTGTTCATGGCCCAATCAGCAATGTCAGCTAAGAGCCTTGCTATTCGTATCTATAGCAATATACAGAGGGTTACGACTAGATGACATTTATGATATCTTCCACTCTAGAAATTTTAAAATATCCCTTGTTTAATGATGAACAGCAAGGTTTCCATTTGGCCACTCACAAATTGAGCTCTCACTATTATTTGCACCAATAATTATGCTGTTGCCACTTTCTCTACCTACCATGGCCAAGATGTAATGAGCTTCCTTACTTTATTTTCATGCTGCTTTTAAATATGTCTTTGAAGCTGCTTCACTTTTGAAAGCATTCTATTAGATAGTATGGGCAGAGGGGGTTTAGGAGAAGCAATGTCCCTGTACAACATGGCACAACACCCTTTGAACAAGAGCCCTATACTTCCAAAACATTCAGCAAACAATAGGATTTGACGTAACTGCTTTGCTAGCTTGCATGGTGGACTTTTGACTTATTTATTGAACTCCACTTTGCCTAGTGCATTTTTCTGGTTTTGCTAACTAAGCCTGTAACACTGATGGTCTGTTATTTTCAGCCTGCCATAAATTTCATTTTCATAGAGCATGGTCTCTATAAATGCTCTTGGCATTAAAAGTCAAAGGTGATGGAAAACTAACTTTGTTATTCAAACATCTTCATTTGAATTATTCTACCGGCTAATGTTTAGTGCCTTCTGAATGACAACAGCAACAAGGAAACTAGTGTTGGTAAGACACAAAAAAAGCAAGTCTGAAATAATAGGCTTGCTGTCTATGTTTTTAAAAAAAATAAAAATAAAATAAATCTTTTAAAAGAAAAACGCAGTAGAAAACTAGAAGAAAAGCATTTGGGGGGGGGGGCACCTTAAAAGTGATACACCAAACACTGAATCTGTTAATCTAACTTCTAGTTAACTTTCTAGACCCAGTAAGCTTACATAAGTGTTGATTTAATAGGTCCCATTGATTCACTGGGCCTACTTTAATTGGGACTAACATGTAGGTCCTACAAGGGGGCATACATGGAGCCTCTTTGAAAGGGGTTGCTTTTTAGAAAGAAAAGGGAGATATAAATAAACATAACTACTACTACAACACAACAACAATGACAACAACAACAGCAGCTCCCTTCAGAAGTGATCAGTCGCAAGTGAACCGAATTAACAGGAAAGCAAATGTATACATACAGAATTTGAAACAACATTGAAGCTGAAGACCTCCAAGAATACTAAAGACTGCATGCAATCTATCCAATACACAGTTTCTTATGTGGGAGTAAGCAACACTGAGCACATGGAGAGGACATCTAAGTACACACTGTGCTTGGATGTGTTAGCATATTTAAAGATGACTGATTGACAACTGATGAGAGAACTTGCCCTGCCCTTGACTTTGCCCCAAAGTTGTTTGATAGCAGTTGAGATGACTCCACTAGGGAATCCAAAATAAAGCAGAAGGAAGAATGTCAAGACTTCAGTGGTCCTGAGAAGCATCTATCTTCTCTTTAAGAGAGTTTTAACTACGCTAAAGCTAGGCTTACCACCTGGAATAGGAAAACAGGGCAGGAGAGCTTTCACTGGCTGTTTTTATTTTGTGTGCAAGACCAAAATATGAAGAAAAAAAGCCCACTATAGTATTGTGACTCAATAGTCTCAACCTTCAGTGAGAAGGATTCACAGAATTATTGGGGAGGGTGGCTATAATTTTTGCTTGTATTCTGCATATGCTACGAGGCTACTTTATTTCAATACTTTAAGGATTTGGGACAATTGTGACTTAGGTCTAAATCACAAAATCCTAATACTTGGAAAGGATCCCAAATGTAATCTAGTCTGAAACCTGACAGGGCAGGAATCCAACATAAAGCATTCCTGAAAGGTAGTCATCCAACGTTTATATTTTCTAATACAAAAAAAATCCACAACCCAAAACCCAGAAGTTTTCTGAGTGACCTTGTTCTGCAATAATATAGGCAGAAGAAAATTGTTTCTGTAAAACACAAAAATCATTTCTGGAGTCATGACAGGCAAATCAATTACACAAACCATATCTTGTATATGTGACAATGGATCTGTTTTCCAAACTGCACCAGGGTCTCTTTTTTAACCTATACAACCAGTGCATATCAACACTGGAGATCCCAAGGTTGTGTTTAGTTGACACAGCCAGACACTCTGGGTGTTGCATTCACAGAAAATTTGCTCGCAGGGATAAGGTTCTTTATGAAACACAAGAGGAATGCGGGATCAGCATGGCATTATCGCTACTCCCACTAACAACACTGCTGTAATTCTCTCATTGCAATGTCTCCCAAATCGGGTAGATACATTGCATTCAAACGATGCATGAATATATTGAGGTGTGATATAACAGAATGACTATCAGGAAAGCAGCCAAATTCACCGAGACAAGCAAGCATGTTTATTCCCATGTGAGGACACAGTGCCCATATGTGGAGGCAGTGACATACAGTCCATGTTGTCCCTACTAGAGACCTCAAAATGTACAGGAGCAGGGCATAAAGATACCTAGGGAGCACGCAGCTTTGCTTAATGCTTTCCACATCATCACCAAAAAAAGTGCTTGAATTTTAGGAGGGAGCAACACCTGTCCTTAGTGATGACTCCTTTATACAGAACACTACAAGGTGGGGTGATACACCCCCAACCTCTATCCAAAATTATCTAAGACACCCCACTCCTCCACACATATCCAGCATGGATTTTTCCACCATCTTTCTAAAGCTCTGGTGTTACTGAGAAGTCTCTTGCTCTAAACTGCACTATACTCAGGCTCTCTGTGCACATCTATCCCTGTTCAGTGTTTCAAACTCAGCAAGGCAGACAAGGCCTTGCCCCATCTTGCTTTGTGAGGTGTGTCTCATTGCTCTTTTATATGGTTGCAGAGGTAATAGAAATTGTTTAATATTGCTAACATTTGGAGAAATTAGAGAGAGGTTTCTGAATTTCACAGAAGAACTTCTCTACTTTTCTTAACTGCCAACTGGCAGAAGTGATTTGGCTTTCAGATCAAGTTACACAGCAGAGGAGGTCTGGATGGGCATATGGTAGGGACTTGACTACAGTTCTTCTGTCCACTGTCACCTCAGAAGGGACAGAAAATAGGGCCCAACTGGGTCCTTTCACCGACAAGTATTGAATTTTTCTGTTGGCAAGAATTATGTTCTCAATGTACTGTGTTTGTCCACGACTGTGGTTTGGGATTCTGATCTCAGCCTTGTTCTGTTGCACTTGGATGGAAGGATAAACTATGTTTTTAGCAAATTAGAAGAACAAATATCTAGCTCCATCCTCTCATGTGCCAAAGAAAACAGAAGAGAAGAAACACACATAGCTTAATGCAGAATTTTATGCTCACAAAGACAAATCATAATCTCAGTGCAGTCAATGACTAAATTATTATTCCAATGGTTGTTTATACCTTGATAAATAAAAACAAGTAATGCATGAGAAAAAAAATACCAAAATAATACAGATTCATTGTAAAAACATATTTAGCTGTTTGGTTGCTATGTGCCTTCAAGTCAACCCTGCCGCATGGCAATCTTATAACTACATTTCTTGCCAAGATTTATTCAGAGAAAGTATGCCACCACCTTCTTCTCAGACAGATTGAATGTTATTTCTCCAAGGTCACCTACTCCATTTTGATGGCTCAGTGGAGATTTGAACCTCAGCTCCTTGGAGTGCTAGTCCAGGATATAAGTCACTGTATCCCATACTAGTTCATACGTATTTGGTAGAATCACACTATGAAATATTCAGAATTATATTATAGCATATACAAAAAAACTATATAAGGAAATGTTTTTTTAAAAAAAATAAGAAGATCTGATTGGAAATTTTGACTGTGGCTAAGACAGCAGTAGGAAGAACTGAAATAATTAAGAACTCTTAAAGCGAAGGACTAATGGACGGATTCTGGACTACAACTTTGAATTTGCATGATTTTAATTGCTGTTTTCATAATTTATGTTTTATTGTCGGTTTTAACTGTAATGGTTATTTTTGGAAATTGCTTGTTGGGCATTGAATTGCTACTGGTTGTGAGGCCACCCTGAGTTCCCTTTGGGATGAGAAGGGTGGGGTACAAGAATGGAAAATAAATAAATAAATAAATAAATAAATAAATAAATAAATAAATAAATAAGAAAGTGATATATTGAGGAACCACACGTAAAAATCAAGTCTAACATGTTAAAATATACATTTTATTGAATATATTCAGACATGAAGAGCAGGTGCACACCTGGTAAGAAAAATGGAGTGGTCATTTTTGTTACCACAACAACCCTGATGGGGCACTAGTGAAAAAGAGAGTCCATGACTTGTAGTTCCTAAGTTAATCTTAATGCTAAGAAAATAAATTTATATTTTTCTGGATTTATCCTGTTTAATATTCTTTATTGGTTTTCATTAGATTATAACATCGAAAGAGTGGGAACAATACGTAAAAAGGAAAGTTTAGAAATTTAAGACACTAGAATCGATAGTAGGGTAAAACATAAGGGAGGTAAAGGGGAGGGGAGGGGAGGGCGGGGGGTGTAGGGCGGGGGGGGGAGGGAAAGGGGGTTGGGGGGGGTAGGTTGCTGGTCACTTCCGTTTGGTCCACAGAGGGGTTATATATTATTAAATATTTCGATTGTCATTTATTGGTTTTAATTCCATATTTCCTGTTGTTTGTTTGAGTTATTGTTGTTGTTGATCTTTTATTTCTGAATATTCTTTAGGTATTCTTTACAATATCTACAGTTAGTCTGACTCTCCTTATTCTGGTTTTTCATTAGGCACGATAATCTATCCAAATCCATGAATTCTATGGCCTTTTTAGTCCAGTATTTTTCTGGATTTATAACATTATTAAAGATTCAATTGATTTGAAGCTCTCTCACCCTGTTCTTTTATCAATCAAGCAAGTAAGCAAATCCGCCCTCATAATGGTTTCAGTCAGATTTCTTTGTTAGATTATTTGTGCATATTTTAATAAACTATAAATGGGGAGTTTCCTACTGTTCTTTCTGCAATACAAGCATTTTATCCAATACAAATTTTCACCTAAAACATATAATCATTATAGCAACCTATTTCCAAAACTTCAAAAACAGAGAATGACATGATTCATACCATGAGACAAAGAGGGTATTAGGTCCTCTGTCGTAGCATGATGGTGATGCTTAAAATGAGTTTCTAAAACTTATGTTAAATGAGGTGGCGGAAGTGTGGGGTTAATTATTCAATACCAAGGAATCAAGAATTCAACTGACCATCTAGGCACTGAGCAGAACCAAATCAAAACTAGAGGATTGGACTGGATGGGTCTTATGGTCTTTTCCAACTCTATGATTATATTTATTTTCAAGCTCTAGATTGGCTATTTTATTTGGAATATGACTCCTGGAATCTCTCAGCTAGTATGACCCTTTATTTTGGTGGCTGGAGAATTCTGAGAGTGATAGAAAATAAACTTTTATCTTTCTCTGGTTGCCTTGAATAAGCCCTGAAAAGCACTCTGGAACTTTTTTCTAGGATAATTCCAATTGCTAATTTCAATGCTAATTCCAATGGCATATTCTTACCCTCCTTCAAAAATTTTAATTCGCATTGGCTCAGTTTGTTTGGCTACAATATCTTTATCTCCATGGCTGTCTCCTTTAATTCTTTCTTTGATAACATTCCCCGTGGCTTTCTTTTCAAACTTGCTGCCGAATACAAAGAATGGCTCCTGTTTCATCTGTGAAATATAAAAAATGAAAAAAGTCACTAATTGTTGAAAATGCTTGAAACACAAAATAAATGCAACAAACATAAAATAGAACAACTGCACTGTGCCTCAAACATGCAAATGCTTGAGGGCATACTGAAACCTTACATTATGCTTTGATTTAAGAAACTAATTATTGTGGCCCTTTAAATGTGTCAAGCAATATATAAGATAGGTGGTAGGTTGCAGAAGAAAGTTTTCTAAGTGCTCAGAGATACTGTAAGCACAGTGTCATTTAATACCATCACATATACACAAAAAGTAAAGATAAAGAACACTTACTAGGTGATCAAAATCAGCCAACTGCTAGCATTGGGATTTCAAGTCATAGTCTGCTCAAAGCCATCTGGCCCATCAGGGTTGGTGTGGTAAGTCACACTAGTTTCTCTGCCTACAGTTCAAAAGGCAGTGATGTGGCAACAAACCAGGTCCAACTGCCTTTGGTTTCCCCAACCCAATGCATTAGGTACTCATTCATAGGTGAGACACAGGGCCCTTCCAAACAGGTCCTATATCCCAGGATCTGATCCCAGGTTTTCTGCTTTAAATTGGATTGTATGAGTCCACTCTGTTAAATAATCGGGGATAAACAGAAAACCTAGGATCAGATCCTGGGATATAGGGCCTTCCTAGAAGGGTCCAGATCTTTACAGCCTCCTGGGATACAGCCAGTTTTACATCAGAGCCAGAAAAATCCCAGATGATTCCACACTTAATATTACTGCTTTGTTATTTTGGGCCTACATCAGGTTGCTACCTATCTTTTTTAGAGGAGGAGGAGGAGGAGGAGGAGGGTAAAAAAAGAATGTTCTTTGTTGTAGAATTTGGCACACTTTTCTAGCTGTGATCTGCCCTATAGCCTCAATGTTTCTAAAGCCCAAGACAGATGTGTTTTCTATATTAATGGTTCTCAGTTTTGGTCCTTCTGATGTTTTAGACTTCAGACTCCAAAATCTCTGACCATCGGCTAAACTGCCCGATGGTCATTTTATATTTGATAATGCTTGGAGAACCACTATGTTACGTGATATTGACTTTGGGCAACAGCTGGAAGCCCAATGTTTTCCCTAAAATGTCGCATCAAGGGGCAACAAAATTTAAAGATATTTGAAAACAAAGGCCTCTGAAAGTGCAATTTAGCCTTGCCATTTTGTTATCTGGAAAATTATATAATGCAAAGAAGTAGCAGGCAGTTGTGGTTTTTAAAGAGTAGAAAGGCCACTACTATTGCTCAGAGTATGACACCTTTATACACATTCACTGCATTCCTATAAGAATTTAATCAATTTTGTGTTTAAGATAAATGACATCTGTTATATTTTTAAAAATATAAAAACACAACTTCTGACACAATTTCTGAAACACATTTTGCTTGCTAATAAGCTAGTTAGGATACAACTTCCTCCATAAGAACTATTTATGTGAATTAATATATTTAAAAACTGTTGCCAATCCACATATGACACCATATTCTTGATAGCGCATGCTCACAGATCTTCTCTAAGACAATTGCCATCCAAGCAATAGATTCACCACCCTGGAGAAATTATTCTAAAAAACGCTACTCTGAAAAGTCTTGAATGCACGGTACATTTATTCCTATTACAGGATCTACATAAAAACATGTGGATCCTTAGGAATGCATTAATTACCTGAGCAAACTGTTTCCATGCACTTGATGATGTTACTTTTCCTGTTCCAGGCCTATGCATTGGAGACAATGTATATATTTCTGTGCTGGTTTTCTGCTTGGACCGTAGGAGTGCTAGGGTAATCTTTGTACTCAGTCCTGATGGGTTTGGGTTAGATGAACTAATGCACCATGAAGCATAAACAGACGATTTCAGAGTCGGTTGCTGAACAAAATTCGGTTTTGTATAGTTTAAGAAACACCAACTCACAGTTGTAGTGGTGCGCAAACTAGGATACTGTAACACTTGTTGGATGTCTGCTAGATCTGTCAGGAGAATTGTTGAGGTAACAGTTTTCCCACTGGGCTGGGATGTCATTTGTACCAACATATCAAATGGCAACTTTTGTTGTTTAGACTGGTCTTCAGTCTGACTTTCACCTGAAGGCAATGAACAGTCCTGTGGGCTCAGACTCATATCCGATGCAGTTTCATCCACATCCAGTTCTTCTGGGGACTGCCTACCATCAGAAGTGCCACTGGACCTTTGTCCTGGTGAAGCAGAATCAAAACTGGGAAGCTTCTCCCTGCTCAATTGGGAAGGCTCAGTGGCTTGCAGATCTTGAGATAAAGCAGGTGATAATGGAGAAGAAGATAGGGTGGACGGCACACTTTCTTTTGGCTCAGTAGTACAGCTCTGCCTAACCAACTGAGGCTTTTGCTGCTTGGGAAAACTTTTCTTTATGTCTGAACTGGTGAGTTCTACAGCACTTAACTCCTCAACAATCTGCCCATACATTTTTTCATCCTTGACTCTCTTTTGTTGCTTAGTCTCCATAAAGAGTTCCAAGCTGCTTGCTGGTGAAAGCATCCGTTTATTTCCACCCAGGGTAGAGGCAGTGTCTGAACTGGAAGTCAAGCACAATGGGATGGAAGAGTCTAAATTAAGTGACAGGGTCTGTGGTACTTTCCACAAGGGGTATTTGTCTAACTTTCCATGCTGGCCTAGCATCTGTGCTATGTTGAATCCTATTCCATGCATGGTTGCACTTGTTGCCAATGTCCTTTGAGAAAGAGTCTCATCTACTTTGCAAATGACAATAGCAGGGCTGCTGCTTTGAGCAAGAATCTGGGAAATGCTTGTGTACATAACACTACCATAGGATGGCACATGAGTCTGGATCCTGACAGGAACAACTGTTCCTGGTAATGACCGAACAGGTCCAATATTCTGGGTTTCAAAATCTACCTGTAGCTGCTGCTCAGAAGAGGTATCTGTTGATTTAATGCTACTATCTGGCTGGTATGTTGCAAGTGCATTTTTAGAATACTGCCCAGATGTTCCTGAGTAACGCTGGTAAGTTTGCTCTTTAGTATGTACATAATCAGCAGTTTTCTTTCTAATATGCTCCTGGGCATATTCCAGATGGTATCCTGGGTGGCTTTCAGTTGAGAAAGGTTGCTTGGAGTAAGATTTGTGAAGCTGCTGTGCAAAATGACGTTGAAAGTGGGTCTGTGAAAGTTCAGAAGGCCATAGGGGCTGAGATGGTAAGTGTACCATGCAAACAGATGGGTATGGAAACTGCAGTAAAGTATTATGGATGGGGAGAAAAGGAACCTTTTCTTGCAGTGCAAATAGATGTTGCTGTTCCGCTGTGTATTTGCTTGGAATATAAGGTGCATGTGGAGTTGTGGGACGGGAAAGTGGGGATAAACTAGTGCTGCGTGGTGGACAAGAACTAGAAGACTGCTTCCCAGAGTCATCAGACTGTATAGAAGAGGGGGAATTAGGCCAAGTGACTTGGGAAGACCGGAGAGCAACATGCCCATGTTCCATTTGCTCTTGCTTGATATTTTGTTCTAGACTCAGGTCACCCTGGGAAATCTCAGGAGAACCACTGAATGAAGCCTGCCGAACCAAAAAGCACTTCTTCCTTTCTCTCACTGGGGATAAAGTCATAGGAGGTGCTCCTACTGCAGAAGCATGAGAGAGATTCCCATAATCAAAGGATTTGCTTCGTATTTCTGGGATTTCAGCAGGGTAAGGACATGGCATCTGTTCAGATGAACAACGGCGCATTTCTTTCTGTTGGTGATGCCCCGGGACGGAAAGCGAATAAGCACCAGCTGGGACGGTTAAAAATTCAGACTGTTTACCAAACTCATCCTGCTTGGTTGACGTTATGAACTTGAAACTATCTTCCCTTTCAAAGGACACTGAAAAACTTGAACTGTGGGACAAGTTGCTCTCTTGGCTGGGGCTGCGGGAAAGGCTTGTCCCTGTAGACTCAAAGCTAGATTCGCCAGAGGAGTGCTCCAGGTCAGCAAGCCTCAAGCGCTTTTTCTTAGGCGGGAGTTTTTCAGCTGGGAGTTGGGAAAGGGTTTCACTTCTTTGTGGCCACTGGAACTCCTCACTCGGCTTCTCTTGCTCTTTTGCTGGGACTTCCTTTTCTCTCTCAGGCTTGTCTGGTTCCTCTGTGACACGAATTTCAGGTACCTGTATGTTATGCTGGCGAACAAGTCTGGGCTGAATATGATATGGCTGAGAATGCTGGGACGAAGAGGGCTGTTTGCTAACACTGTCAGCAATTTCTGTCTGCTGAACCCTATCTGGACTCATTGGGGATGCTACAATCTCAGTTTCACAAGTTTCAGATGATGAGTATATTTTATCCTGGCAAGCAACAAGTTCTGTAGATTCAGACCTTTCAAATGAGTTTGGCCGGCTTAATGAATTTGTGTGCTGAATGACAGAGATTACATTTCCTTTTCTACTCAGAGATTCTCCTGTCTTTTCTTGTTCAGCTGTTAAAGGGAATTCATCTATACTAGTGGCTGGACTGCCCGACTGCAGGTGGGGCCTGCAGATTTCAAAGCGCTCTGGAAGGGAATGAGCAGAATTGTCATGGCCTGGAAGGGCATATCCACTCCTTGTTCCTTCCTGGAATTGCAGTTTAGGATCAAAGTCACCACTCATGGAGCTGCCAGTGGAACCACTGCACAGTGAAGGTGTATCTTCCTCATCCCCAACACTCTTCTGTATTCTACGCTTTCGATTCTCAAATATAATGCCATATGTAGAAGATACTCCCTGCAACTGTGTAGGTGATTCAGAAAAATATTCTCCTCCTTGCTTTGACCCACTTACAATTGAAAGATCTCTATAGCTATGCTTCAGGGCCCCATGGTCTTCCCATTTTCTATAGTGCTTTCCAGAAGAATCCCCATCGTAAAAGGATCTCTCCATCGCTGAGAGCTTCTTCTCTCTCACACCTGGCCCTTTTTCTCCTGCACCTGATCTGCCAGAAACCATCATAATGTTCTTTCCCATTCTCCCATGGTACTCTGAATCAGTGTGTCCTTCATGTAATGATGGCAGCTCAAAGGCTGCTTGTCTTCTTAGCATGCGTTGAGGGGGTATTCCTATTGATTCAGGATAAAAAACATCATCTGAACCAGTCATCCTCTCATCAAATGAATGGCTTCCTCGTAAAGCTGATGGGACATTCAAATTGTTTGCAGATGATGTTGGCATAGAGTTGCTTCTAATGAGTGGGTTTCCATCTGCTGGAGGTTCTAGGAGGAGAGGTGAATCACCTGGGTGATTCCCTGGGAAAAGGGCTAATTCACTTTTGATGGCTGATGTGATGATCTGAGACTGTTTGGATTCTGTATTATCTTTAAAGACTTGGTTACTTTTTAGAGCACCAATTTTACTAGGATCAGTAAGTGCTTCTTTATTTGGAGACATTGAATCTTCAAGCATTTTGACATCTAGTCTAGACCCTGTGAGAGACAATGGCTCCATCTTGCTTTTTCTTCCCATTGAAGTGAGATCTTGATTAGCTGTTGCTACAGCTTGTGGAGTCCTTTGATTAATCCTATAGAATTTTCCAAAGATTATTTCTTCATAGGACTTTGCATTGGTATTTGGTGGACTTATCTGTTGCTCTGCACTCTCTGACCGTGAAAAATAACCTGAATCAGTGCTACCTTTACTATGGGGACTCAAGAGATTTAATGACTGCTCAGAATCTTGTCCTTTCTTCTCAGACAGTCTTAGAGCAAGTCGCTGCTTAACAGTGTGAGAGTCATCAGACTTAGTACTTAACGGGTTTTGCAGGTTATCAGACCCAATGTGCTGAGAGCTTTCACATGGTAACTGAACACCACTTCTAGGAATAATCAAAATAGGGACTTTCATTGGGCCTGCCAAGGATTCATCTATGGATGTGTGAAACCCACTTCTGCCAGTAATATCCAGTGGAATTTGTGGAACTGGGCTCAGTTTGTCAGAACCCTCAACTAGTAAAGATGTCTCTTCATCAGTATCTGTGCTCTGCTCCCCATCTGAATGTATTTCTGCTTCTACATCAATGAAACTGGAATCTAGGTCCAATTTTGATACAGCCGATTCTGTGAAAGGTACCAGTCCTGCCTTGATTGCATGAGCATGCGATTTCCTGTGCTTATATAAATTGCTCTTTGTCTTGAACGAGAAGCCACAAGGGACACAAGGGTATGGGCGCTCCCCAGTGTGGGACCTAATATGTTTCTTAAGTACGCTAGGTTTGGCACAAGCCCTGCTACAGTAAGGACAAATATATTTGCCAGGCTTTTTGGGTTTATGTTCTTTTTTATGACTTTCTTCTGACTGCTGCTCTAGACATTTCTGGGAATACTGGCTGTAAGCAGGGTTCAAACTGGAAATTTTCTTTCTGGAAAAACTTCCACTGTGGCTGTGCACATGAAATGGAAATAAGTCCTCAGAGGAAACTGATTGCAGATGGCCAGGAAATGGCCATTTATGGCCTTCTAGGCTCTGGTGCTGCTTTAGGTTGTGCAAGTATCCTTGTGGCAACGAATGCTGAGGGAAAGAAAGAGAATGCTGACATGAATATGGAGTTGAAAGGTGCTGTGGGTATTGCTTGTCTGTGGCTTGCTGGGTAACATCACTGGGTGCCACCACTTTTCCAGAACTGAAAAGCTGGGCAGATGCAGGGCTTTCTCCATGTTCAGGGTCAATCTGGGCCTGTCCTTCCAGGTTGCCAATTGCAGTCATCTTGACATTGGCTGGATGTTCCTGTCTCCATCTACTTGGTACTTTAGCTGTTTCTCCAGACCTTGAGGTAGCATTTTGCCCTACAGCTGTATCCCCAGAGTCCATTTTGTCCCACAAGGTCTTCTAAGTGCTAGTTCACTTGAAAGCTGTACAGGCACATGAAGTGTATCCAGTGCTGTGCTTTATGTTTTTAAAGTTTGATTGCTCCCATGGATTCAGAGCTGTTCCAAGTTCACAGACTTCTCTTTCTCTGTGGAACATTCCACACAGTAGTCTTTTAGGCATTAGATCTCTTGTAGGTCTATGCTAAGAAGTAACTGTCACACAGTTCTGTTCATGGCAGGAATTTCCTTTGAATAGTTTATTATACATCTGTCATGATTTGTATTTTAACATTATCCATGGTTATGAAGAGTTCTGATGAAGAATGATCCAGAGGGATATCTTTGCTCATTAACTAAAGCAGGGTCCCAAACATTCTTCCCAAAAAGATGCAGCTGCCTGCAAGGAAGAAAGCAAATGACAAGAGATCAATACAATTAAAAACTTAAGAGACAAATATTATGTAGTGGGTTTGATGCCAAAAGTAGATGCATCAATCAATAATGCCTTTATTGCAGTCAACAAAACATAAGGTGATGCAATAGTTGTATGCATCTTACACACATGCACACACTATATTGGGAAACATAAACAGGTCATGTTAGGATGGTACAAAAGGATACAATTGAAAGCATGGGAAAACATTGTAAAATAGCTTAATAAAATATGTTTAAAACGGAGTACAAGACAGATACAATTAAAACCAAACAATAGTATGAATTAAATGTAAAATTAAAGCTACACAGTCATATTACCAGTAAGCAAGAATTTGAAACTAGATGCTGTGTCAGCTACTCAGTTGCCATACAAAGACAATTATTCTCATCTTTTCCCCTTCTTATCTCATAAAATGTATGATATGACATCAATATGCTATTTTCTTCAACTTTGCTTTTATTTTATAGTTACAGCTACTGTTTTTGGCAGCACCAGTGCAACCTTTACCAATGTCTGCTTAGAATCATAGAATCAAAGAGTTGGAAGAGACCTCATGGGCCATCCAGTCCAACCCCCTGCCAAGAAGCAGGAATATTGCATTCAAATCACCCCTGACAGATGGCCATCCAGCCTCTGTTTAAAAGCTTCCAAAGAAGGAGCCTCCACCACACTCCGGGGCAGAGAGTTCCACTGCTGAACAGCTCTCACAGTCAGGAAGTTCTTCCTCATATTCAGATGCTTCTGGAGCCATACTTCTAAATATATTGATTTAACAACATACAGCCATTCTACTATTCTTAGGCACCTACCAATATTCTAATAGAAAAATACAAAAGGCCACAACAAAAATTATCAAACAATCAAATTGTTTAATTTTAAAATACAAATTTCACAAATGTATACTCAAATCAAGTAGCACATGTGATCAATGTAAACAAGAAGAGAATTTGTGACAAGTGAAAGGATAGTGGTTGCTGGCATTCTGTTAGTGAGTTACAATTGTAAAAGTCCAACTTATAATAATAAATAATAATAATATTTATTTATATCCTGCCCCAACTCCCCAAAGGGACTCGGGGCAGATTAACTGATAACTTATGTTATCATAGCCAATTCGGGAAGTCATCATGGAGTTCAGACTCTTTTACTGCCATGCAACAGTAAAACCTTTCCCCAAAACTCATATTTTAAAACAATGTACACCCCTTCACCTGCATTTATGTGTTGATAACCAGGATGGAAATTAGTGGAGCTGTATCAAGCTATTTTCCTGTAGTTGAACACCCTGCAAAGAGGTTATATTGTGGAGACCTTCTGAGGACTCTCAAAGGACTCAATGGATGCTTATTGTAATATTAATTTATTTACTTCACTTGTATACTGCTTTTCTCACCCCAGCGGGGGAGTCAAAGTGGTTTTCAACATAATTATGGCAAAATTAAATGCCTCACATATAGAAACCTAACATAACAATAATAACATACAATTATCAATTAAATCATAAAACATGACATCATTTCACATTAAAACATGGAATTAAAAATCAATATAAACATTAAAATCATGCAATCCAACAATTGTAGTCCAGGCCGTTCCAAATATCATATCTATTGCACATACTCCCGATCATTCCTTGTACTGCTTACTGCCCAAAGGCTTGATCCCATAGCCAAGTTTTTACTTTTCTTCTGAAGGCCAGGAGGGAGGGCGCTGATCTAATTTCGTTGGGGAGGGAGTTCCATAGCCAAGGAGCCACCACTTGTCCCCACCAATCACAGTTGTGAGGGAGGTGGAACCAAGAGCAGGGCCTCCCCAGATGATCTTAATCTCCGAGATCTCGTATATCTTAATCGCATATATCCAGCTACAGAAAAAAACAATTGGATATGTTTCCATTCATCTGCACTATCCAACAACATGAAAAGGGCTAAAGACCTGTGCCACTTAAAAATTGGGTTTGGTGGGTAGTGTTAAAAGATGCAGTTATGGAGCTATAGCTACATACCAGATGTACATCTTCTGATGCAGGATTCCTACTAGTGCAGGAATCACAGAAGGGACAATAAAATATAGCCCGAATCCTAATGAGAAATCAGCACTTATATCATTCAAAGCAATGTCTTCAGCTGACCCCTGCACTCTCAAAGAAGAGAAGCCAAGTTTCCTATCAGACAAAGTCTCAGAAAGCATATGTATTATCACAAAGAGCACAGCCTCCTGAAAAACTCACTCAATCTAAGTGGAACAACAAAAAGGCTCTGCCAGTTTGCAAACTTAGAACAACTGAACTATTTTTCCAAATAATTGCATCTATAGCTATTATTGGATTTGGGCACTTACTTTTAAACAAAAGAAACTGGACAGGGTAAACTGCAATAAAACTTTTCTGATTTTATTTATTTATTTTGCAGAATTAAAATACCAAGATTATATGCAACAAAGATCTTTGCTTAATCTGAAATATTTTATTTCTCCTGTCAGAACAAAGTACATCTTTAGTAGAAAAATGTGTCTGTGTATTACCTGCATCTTCTTGGCATATACTATGCATGATTATCTTGAAGCTTCCTAGAGAAAAAGAAAAACATGAAAGTTCTTAGTCAAAAGTTTGATAATTATAGGAAGTCTTATACAGAGATGAGTATGTTAAATTACTAAAGTGCTTGTTTATGTACAAAGATATACTGGAATTGTTTTGAGGAAAAAGAGGAAGAAAGCATGAATACAGTGGGCCCTTGATATCCACTGAGATTAGTAGTTACCCATCTCCTCTCATTGTTTGAGGTGGGATACAACATAGTTAAAACACACACATAAAACACAATACTATAAAATACTTTTTTTTAAAAAAAAAAGATGAATACAGCACTACTAATAAAATGTGAATTTAAAATTCATAGTTCAAAATTGATTGGGGTAGGCCTACTGGGGAAAGAGAGAAGACAGTAACACTCCAATATCTGTTCTAGTTAGCTCAAAAGCCCTTCAACAATTGTCCTGCTTATTCTTTACAGTGCCTAAATGTTATGCAGGGAATTAACAGCAAAAGACGGAGCTGTGTGTTTTTTTTCCTGGTGGTACCTCCCATACATGTGACACCATTATAGGAAAATACCACAAATTACTGTATGTGTTCAACTAACCACATATTTAGACATGACAGCCATTATAATGCCAAATAATAGCTAATTGTTAATTTACTAAAGCATCACTCAATCTTTGTTTTTCTATTAACATCTTGTGCAAGAGACCAACAACTTTTGCTTAAAGATTCCCAGTCTGGTTTATTTGATAACTTTAATCTTTTAGAAGTAGAATGTAGGATAAGGTTTAGAAGAATTGTTGACTGAAAATGAAAGTATGAGCTGAATCCTATTGGGACTCCCAACTACAGCAGACCCATTGAATTGAAGGGATTTACATAATTGTTGACACAACATTCAATAATTTATTCGGTGACGCTATTATAGTTGGGACTACCAGGAAGATTCAGGCTATCAAACTTGGATTGATTTGGAGGTAGTGTAAATTTCAGGTGTTAAAAATTCCCTTCAATTTATTTACTAGGTGACTTTCACTCTACTGAGTCACAAGATAATTTACAACAAAATGTTAAGGCAATATATATATACCCTGGTCAGTATATAAATGCTTGTTGGCAGAAAAATGTTTTTACCTGCTGATGAAAAGCAAGTAGGGACTAGGCCATCCTCTAGGGGTGGAATACCAGAGTCTTAATATCTCCATTAAAAATGTTCCCTCCATGACTCATCATACAATAAAGGAAAATAAGTTCAAAAGGAAAATGAGATCAAAGAATTATTCCTAAACAACTCTTACTATTCTTCAGAAGACTCAGTTTCATATGAAAGCCTAAGATACCGACAAAATCTTTTTCTGCCTCGTGACTAACAAAATAATGACTTCATTAATATACTAATTAATTATCTGACTAGTTAAACACCAAACAAATAGAAAGGCACAGTTGCTTGTGAGATAGAAAAACTGACTCAGAAGAACACCAGATGGTTGGAGGCAACATAGCTGTGCTATTACATAAATAAAGGAAATAACATCTTCCCTCACTACCAAATATCACTGTCAGATACAATGAGGGAAATGTCAAAAGCAGCAAGAATGCTCCAGATTCTATCACCATTCTATGGCCAATCCAGCAAGAGGTGCTCCACATGGGGTAGCACATGCAGAGACGGCTGGACAGAAAACTCTGTACGTGCAACAGTCCACTCAGATAATTCTGGGTCCTGTTCCAGAGAACTGCCAATACAGCAGCAGGATGCATTCCCATTGCTACGTTTGATTTGCAGTATTCTCCTCTTCCTTGTGCAGACCTCTTCCCTTCGTTCATCCTACTCATCATCTGCTCAGTATAGGAAATGAGAGGCTTTTGAGGTCCCTTGTCACACATTATTCAGCAACAAATCCAGTTCTACCATTAACTATAAATTGCAGAAACAATTCTAAAAGTTTCTCTGACTCAAAGGGCTCCTCGAGATGAGACAAGTGAGTCAGGGGGTTGGCAAATTTCTAGTTACATTTCAGTTGCCTTAGACTATTCTCTGGCAATTCGCGGCAGGAGTTGCAAACTTTTATACCCTTCTTTGAGTGAGGATCTCTTTAATTCCAAGTCACATCAGAACAATAATCACCTTTCTTTTTTTCCTTCTTTATTTTATATTTTTCTCAAAGTGAAACACACTATTCAACTCCCAAAAATTCAGAGAAAGGAAAAAATGTATTTCAAACCACAGGACCTACTCAGTAAAGCCTGGATCAGTTTTTTTTTTAAAAAAAAAAGACTGAATGAGTTCCTATGCAGATCTATGACATTGCTACAAACAGCACTGTGAAAGAATAGAATGGAAGCAGCAGCAACCAGCAAAACCCTCTATAAAAGGCTACTATGCTTCTTTAAACCAATCTGGAGGAGCCTGGAGACTTCACACACACAAGAACTCTAGCATAAGTAGAGGCAGAAGACTGGTATTCTTTTACACACCAGGGCTACTCTTTTCCTGTTGATAAAGGAGCATTAAGTGGAGTATTAATAGATTAGGAGTGTGGCCAATGCAGTTCCAATGCACAAAAATCAAGAGCAGGCAAATTGTAACTCTTGAAGACTGTGTTTGTGGCCATCTCTCTAAACTGCTCAGACCACCTTTTTCCTGGCTCTGATAAGTCAAACTGATTATCTTGGAAGCTTTCAGAAGTACTACATGTACTTTTAAAAACATAAACATCACCTGCATGGTTAAACATGAAAAAAATATTTCTTCAAAATCAGATAAACAGTTGTGGCCCAGAAAACCAGCAGTTGCTATCCTTGATGTAAATCATAATTAAGTAGGCAAAGGTAACACCAAAAATGTTTTCCTATAGGAGGAAGATGTGGTAACAGTTACAATTTAGGCAGCTTTAAAAGGGACTTGGGAAACCATGACTGCATATGCAATGCTGGTATAAAACCAGTTCATATAGACTGGAATGCTGTTGGATACTCCCAGTCAGAACAGACCCACTGAATCGATTGTTGAACATATAACCCGACTGATTCATATTATGTAGTGTTAAGGGAATTAATAGTAGGAGTCAGCTCAATATTTAAAATAATGAAACCAGAAATGCAATTTTTGCCTCATATTAAAATTTTAGGAAATAAGGATTCATTTCCAAATTATTCTTCATTTTCCTGTGCAGTGCATTCAGGAGATTTTAGCTAGTATACAGTCACTACTAGTGTGCTGATGAGAAATTCCAAAGGACAGAATTGACAGACACCAATACATGCAAAAGACACCTCTGCTTGAGCCCTGAAGAGGTCTGTTTTTTGCAAGAATTAGTTTCAGTGACTTCTGTCCCCTGATGCTGACAGAAAACTTGAAAGAATAATTTCATCCACATAATAATAATAATAATAATAATAATAATAATAATAATATCTTCATTTGTACCCTGCTACCATCTCCCCGAAGGGACTCAGAGCAGCACACAGAAGAACTACTAGTACAGAATAAAAAATAAACAATACATAAACATATAGGCTATAATAGCATAAATTTACAACAGCAAATATACATAAAATGACACATAATATTTTTTTTAAAAAATCATAAAATTCATAAAGTGCAGTGATGCCTGTGGATAAAACTCGCAGTCTTAAAATTAGCATCCATTAATTATTACCTACTCATATGTTACTTCATAAAGGACTGAGGTTATGTGACAATGCAGTCGCTGTTGCCCGTTTTTGGTCTGAACTTATTTAGCTGCTTGTGCTCCCTTTATTTTATCAGTTTTACACTTATTTATGCTTTTGATGCAGAATAAATAAATGTGACACAGAGATAAACCATTTGCCTCTTACACTACATCAGGGAGCTTCGGACTGAAGGGGATAGAGGGGAGGGGGAGAATTAGCTCAGTAGAACAGTAGAAGACCCCAATTTGGTCATAGAATTTCCAAGTAGATCTAGGAAAGCCTCCCGAATATAAAATGTGGAGCAAATTATTGCCAATCAATATAGATGCATCTTAGTCAGGTAGATCGTTGGCTTGGTTTTGAGGAATATCTTGTCGTATAACATTCAGACAACCTTGGGGCACAATACGAATCAAGCAAAGTAATAATCCCATCCTAATAAGGGTGCCTGTTTTTTGTTGTCTCAGTGCTGTTTTAATAAAAAGGCTAATTTAAAATGATGCAAGACACTTTGAGTTTCTATAAGAAAGGTAGGTTAAACATATTATTGCTAAATCAAAATAAAGGAAAAAACTCCTAGTGTCATCAAAATTTTCAGAGTGTTATCTAATGCTAGCAGATTTATCAGAAGGAAGTTGAAGGAACATGAAGCAACAAAATCTCAAGCTTTCTCAATTACACATCATTGTTACACCAACATCACGCCATATTATACTGCCTAAAAAAAGAAAACACGAGAATGTGTATCTTAGTCATATGCTTTAGTAACGAAAATCATTTGGATTCTCTTGAATCCAAATAGGTCTTGCCCACAAATAGACAGAGAATTCATTTCCTTATTAGTGTTATTGATAGAACAACCACAGATTTCCAGATTTGTAACATGTTTTAAACCACCTTACTTTTGGAAAACCATCTGTCCTTCTACTTGATGAGTTCTGTATGTCCTCAACATACATTCATTTAGGCTTTTCTTTAAAGTTTTGATATATTTTTGGGAGTTGCCTTGAATCCCAAAATTTTTTGCAAAAAATGTTTTGCTGAAAACAGTTTAGAAGTAAAATGCTGTATAGTATACCTATAAAATTCTGATGATCACACAGACAGTCTATATTCCACTGTTAAATGTTATTGTTATAATCTGGACAAGGAACATAATTGGGCAAGGAACCTGAGGCATATCTCTGGTAGCAGAAGATCCAATCCCTGGCACCATCAGTTAAAAGGTACATAGGTTCTCCTGTGACCTTGTAGAACCTCTGTCAGACTGAGTAAACAATACTGAATAAACTAAACGACAAAAATGTAACCTAATACAAAACACCTTTCTGTTCTTAACACACACAAA